GTTCGAATCCCTGCTTTCAGTTCTTTTTCTGTGCTTTATTTTTCTGTATAGCATTTATTATCATCCAACAGTTCTCCTTCTACCCCCAACTAGAGATGCAAATGATTTTTGCTTAGAAAAGATAATCCCAAAGTTATAGTTGTAGGTCCTTAAAGGACATTAACCAATTATATCTAACCTAGTAATTTCATTCTAATTCCTTTTTTAAAAATCTGTAAATACTTAGTTCTTCAAAATACTCTTTTGAACAGCTTTACCATCTTACTTGTTTCATCATAAATAATTAATAAATCTTTAATGTGTTCATTCTATATTTGTATGAGTTAGATTTTTGTTTTTTAATTATTTATTGAAGTATAGTTGGTTTACAATGTTGTGTTAATTTCTGCTGTACAGCAAAGTGATTCAGTTATACATATATAGATATAGATATATATAGATATATAGATACATTCTTTTTTAATATTCTTTTCCATTATGGTTTATCACAGGATATTGAATAGAGTTCTCTGTGCTATACAGTAGGACCTTGTTGTTTATCCAGTCTATATATAATAGTTTACATCTGCTAACCCCAACCTCACACTCCATCCCTCCCCCAACCCCTTCCCCCTTGGCAACCACCAGTCTGTTCTCTATGTCCATGATTCTGTTTCCCTTTCATAGTTAGGTTCATTTGTGTCATATTTTAGATTCCACATATAAGTGATATCATATGGTATGTTTCTTTCTTAGTATGATAATCTCTAGTTGCATCCATGTTGCTGCAAATGGCATTATTTCTTTCTTTTTTATGGCTCAGTAGTATTTCATTGTCTATATACCACATTGTCTTTATCCATTCATCTGTTGATGGACATTTAGGTTGTTTGCATGTCTTGGCTATTGTGAATAGTGATGCTATGAACATAGGGGTGCATGTATCTTTTTGGATTAGAGTTTTGTCTGCATATATGCCCAGGAGTGGGATTGCTAGATCATATAGTAGTTCTATCAATATTTTTAGTTTTCTGAGGAACCTCCATACTGTTATCCACAGTGGCTACACCAACAGTGCAGGAGGCTTCCCTTTTCTCTCTCTAGCATTTGTTATTTATAGAGCTTTTAATGATGGCCATTCTGACTAGTGTGAGGTAGTACTTCAGTGTAGTTTTGATTTGCACTTGAGAGTCAGATTTTTGAGTTTTAAAATTATGCATTGACATTCCAGAAGTGTTTACTAGGAACTAAAATCTGCATTTGTGGAAAATTAAATGAATTAGTAGTTCATAGTGCTCTACAAGCAAGCTAGGCTGGGGCTGCAGGTGTGCTGGTGTCCCCTGAACTAAGTGGAGACACCAACAGCATATACTCTCACAGGGTTGGGGGCCCTCCTGAGTCGTGGCCCCTGCTTGTACAGTCCGGGGACATGCAAATCCTGGGGGAGCTTATGAAGACCTGGATCTCTGGGGCCCCTGATCCTCACATAGTTCCCCACGAGATAGATGCCATTTCGCCGATGAGGAAACAAGCTCTGAGGGGTTAAGTAACTGAGATCGTGGTATAAGGGGAAATTAGAGACGAAAGACTAAAGTGAAAGTTCTGTGATGGTTCTCAATGAATGGTTCTGTGTGCATTGCAATGGTTGGGTGGATTTTTTCTCTCTTCTGCAGTTGCACCAGAGATAAAAGCTGAGAGGGGAAAGCATGAGGTCTTATCTGTGGTAGAGGCAGCCTCAGCCATGGGGGCAGACACCACCCGCAGGGGACAGCACACCTCCAGGGCGCTTGCTTAGAGGTGCCAAAGAAGAGGATCCATCACCAGCTGCCGCTCCCACGTCATCCTGGCGACATGAGGATCGCGGCAGGGTGCTGCCATTGGGGGGAGGGCAGAATGTAGGAAAGGAGCTCTTTACATCCCTTCTTCTCATGGGGTGAGGAAAGAAGTATTTCTCCTGCCCCAAGCCAAGGGAGGCGAACCCCAAGAGAATCACTTGTGAAGTTTGGGTGCCCCAGCCCTCCCCCCACACTGGTGACCATCTTATCTGAGGGACTGGCTGGTGGAAAGCATTGTTGGTGGAGACATGGTTCATGGGATGGCCAAGTGAGAGAGGTCAAGGGTCCCTGGCCACGTGTCCTCTGAGGGATGAGGGAAATGGATGTCACATGAGTTTGCTGGCTGGTGGGACTGGGGGCTGCAGACTTGCTGGGGACACAGATTGGGTTGAGGATGTGTACACTTTAGAGAACTGTGGCCTGAGGGGCCAGTGGGAGGATGGGGTCGAGGGCTGGAGGGACCCCCAGTGCCTGGGGGCTGCTCACCGTTTGTCTACGTGGAGTCCCTAGTCAATGAACTGGATGAGCATAAGGACCCAGACAGGGAGAGGCCTGTGACCTTTCCAAGCCCAGCATCTAAAGTTGGGAGATCTCTGCCCAGCTCCCACCCATGACCTTTCCTTAAAGGGGTCATGCAGAGAGGGAGGGAGATGGTGGAAAGCTAAGCCCCACCCCCAGAACCTGGAGCCAAAGTCTAGCCTGGAGGTGGGGCAGCTCTTTTCTTTTTTTAATTGAAGTATAGTTGATTTACAGTGTTGTGATAATTAACTACTATACAGCAAAGTGATTCCATTATACACATATATACATTTTTAAAATATTCTTTTCCATTATGGTTTATCATAGGATACTGAATATAGTTCTCTGTGCTCTACAGTAGGATCTTGTTCTTTATCCATTCTATAATAGCTTACATCTGCTAACCCCAACCTCCCACTGCATCCTTCCCCAACCCCCGCCCGCTTGGCAAACACCAGTCTGTTCTCTTATGTCCATGATTCTATTTCTGTTTCATAGATAGGTTCATTTGTGTCATATTTTAGATTCCATGTAGAAGTGATATCATAGGGTATTTGTCTTTCTCTTTCTGGCTTACTTCACTTAGTATGATAATCTCTAGTTGCATCCATGTTTCTGAAAATGGCATTATTTTGTTCTTTTTCTAAAATAAATTTATTATTTTATTTTATTTTTTGGCTGCTTTGGGTCTTCATTGCTGCATGCAGGCTTTTCTCTGGTTGCGGTGAGCGGGGGCTACTCTTTGTTGCGGTGCGTGGGCCTCTCATTGTGGTGGCTTCTCTTGTTGTGGAGCACGGGCTCTAGGCGGGCAGGCTTTAGTAGTTGTGGCTCATGGGCTCTAGAGTGCAGGCTCAGTAGTTGTGGCACACGGGCTTAGTTGCTCCAAGGCATGTGGGATCTTCCTGGACCAGGGCTCGAACCCATGACCCCTGCGTTGGCAGGTGGATTTTTAACCACTGAGCCACCAGGGAAGCCCCATTTTGTTCTTTTTTTATGGCTGAGTGTTCCCTTATATACATATACCACATCTTTATCCATTCATCTGTTGATGGACATTTAAGTTGTTTCCATGTCTAGCTATTGTGAATAGTGCTGCTATGAACATAGGGGTGCATGTATCTTTTTGAATTATAGTTTTATCTGGATATATGCCCAGGAGTGGGATTGCTGGATCATATGGTAACTCTATTTTTAGTTTTCTGAGGAACCTCCATACTGTTTTCCACAGTGGCTGCACCAACTTACATTCCCACTAGCAGTTAGAAGGGTTGCCTTTTCTCTACACCCTCTGCAGCATTTGTTGTTTGTAGACTTTTTAATGATGGCCATTCTGACTGGTGTGAGGTGGTACCTCACTGCAGTTTTGATTTGCATTTCTCTAATAATTAGTGATGTTGAGCATCTTTTCATGTGCCTATTGGCCATCTGTATTGCTTCTTCAGAGAAATGTCTGTTTAGGTCTTCAGCCCATTTTTGGATAGGGTTGTTTCGTTTCTTGTTTTAGAGGTGTATGAGCTGTTTGTATATTTTGGAAATTAGGCCCTTGTTGGTCGCATTGTTTGCAAATATTTTCTCCCGTTCTGTAGGTTGTCTTTTTGTGCTGTTTATGGTTTCCTTTGTCGTGCAAAAACTTGTAAGTTTGATTAGGTCCCATTTGTTTATTTTTGTTTTTATTTCTGTTGCCTTGGGTGAACAAACTAAGAGCACATTGGTACGATTTACATCAGAGAATGTTTTGCCTATGTTCTCTTCTAGGAGTTTTATGGTGTCATGTCTTACGTTTAAGTCTTTAAGAGGTGAGGCAGCTTTGATTGAATAGGAATTGAGGTTTGCAAAAGATAGAAACCTGGAAAGAAAACAGTGTAAGAACCAAGAGACCAAAAAGTATAATGCTGAGTTCATCAGCTGTGACAGAACGGGAAGTCCTAGCACAGTTGGGAGCCGTTGGAAAAATAAACATAAGTCCTTGAATTCTCTGTGCCTCAGTTTCCTCATCTACGAAATGGGCATACTAGTGGCATCTACCTCTTTCAGGTGCTGTGAGGATTAACTGAGTTAATCTGTGTAAAGTGCTGGAACAGTGCCTGGCACATAGAAGGTACTTAAAGACAGGCTGTTGGTCATTTTCCAAGTTGTAACTTCTCCACACATCAGTAAGATGTGTTTTCTTTCTGATTTCCTTGACAGCAGGCATCTCTATGTGGTGAGATCTGCCTTCTGTGAGAGGGGAGAAAGGAGGGGAGGGAGCCCCTGGGGCCAGGCTGCAGGACAGTCAGAATGGACAGAGGCTGCAGGACAGCCAGAATGGCCACATTCTTTCAGCAGCCCTAACTCATGGACCCTCAGGAGCTGGGACTAGGCTTTATAGAGGGAAGGCTGGGCAGTGGTGTCCACAGAGGAGAAGCATTAAGGGCATTTTGCTTTAGAAACATGGCTAGATACTCTGTGTTGGGGAACTGGTTGCCCCGAGCCCATCACTGGCAGCAGGGAAGTCATGCCCAGCAAGCTTAAAAAGCAGAATTGTAAAGAGCACCACAAGAGCCTTCAGCCAGGCCAAGTGGGGGAAACGGGACAGGGCAGAGTTTCCCTTCCACTATCCACTTAACCAAGGCTACCTCCCCTATTGGACATTTCTTGAGGGAGGTAATTAACCTCTGTTTCTCTTCCTTCCCTTAGAGGTCCAGAGGGTTCCTCTCTCCCATTCAGAGTACTCCAAGGAGGCTGACAAGACTGTGGATTATCGGCTTTAACAGGTGACACAGCCTATTATGTTTTTTTTTCTTTTATATGTAAGTTTTCTGAGTTGTGGTATACAGATGAATTTATTTTTTATTGGGGTATAGTTCTTTTACAATGTTGTGTTAGTTTCTAAACAGCAGGTTCTCATTAGTTATCTATTTTATACATATTAGTGTATATACATTAATCCCAATCTCCCAGTTCATCCCATGCCCCCCTTTCCCCCCTTGGTGTCCATATGTTTGTCCTCTACATCTTTGTCTCTATTTCTGCCTTGCAAACCAGTTCATCTGTACCATTTTTCTAGATTCCACAAATATGCGTTAATATATGATATTTGTTTTTCTCTTTCTGACTTACTTCACTATATATGATAGTCTCTAGGTCCATCCACGTCTCTACAAATGACCCAACTTCGTTCCTTTTTATGGCTAATATTCCATTGTGTATGTGTACCACAACTTCTTTATCCATTCATCTGTCGATGGACATTTAGGTTGCTTCCATAACCTGCCTATTGTAAACAGTGTTACAGTAAACATTGGGGTGCATGTGTCTTTTTGAATTATGGTTTTCTCTGGATATATGCCATTATTACTCAACATAGTTTTGGAAGTCCTAGCCATGGCAATCAGAGAAGAAAAAGAAATAAAAGGAATCCAAATTGGAAAGGAAGAAGTAAAACTGTCACTGTTTGCAGATGACATGATACTATACACAGCCACCAGAAAACTACTAGAGCTAATCAATGAATTTGGTAAAGTTGCAGGATACAAAATTAATGCACAGAAACCTCTTGCATTCCTATACACTAACAACGAAAGATCAGAAAGAGAAATTAAGGAAACAATCCCATTCACCATTGCAACAAAAAGAATAAAAATGCCTAGGAATAAACCTACCTAAGGAGGTAAAAGACCTGTACTCAGAAAACTATAAAACACTGATGAAAGAAATCAAAGAAGACACAAACAGATGGAGAGATATACCACGTTCTTGGATTGGAAGAATCAATATTGTGAAAATGACTATACTACCCAAAGCAATATACAGATTCAATGCACTCCCTGTCAAATTACCAATGGCATTTTTCACAGAACTAGAACAAAAAAATCTTAAAATTCGTATGGAGACACAAAAGACCCTGAATGGCCAAAGCAATCTTGAGAAAAAAAAAAAAATGGAGCTGGAGGAGTCAAACTCCCTGACTTCAGAATATACTACAAAGCTACAGCAATCAAGACAGTATGGTACTGGCGCAAAAACAGAAATATAGATCAATGGAACAGGATAGAAAGCCCAGAGATAAACCCACGCACCTACTGTCAACTAACCTATGACAAAGGAGGCAAGGATATACAATGGAGAAAGGACTGCCTCTTCAATAAGTGGTGCTGGGAAAACTGGACAGCTATATGTAAAAGAATGAAATTAGAACACTCCCTAACACCATACACAAAAATAAACTCCAGATGGATTAAGGACCTAAATATAAGGCCAGACACAATAAAACTCTTAGAGGAAAATATATGCAGAATACTCTTTGACGTAAATTGCAGCAAGATCTTTTTTGACCCACCTCCTAGAGAAATAGAAATAAAAACAAAAAATAAATAAATGGGACCTAATGAAACTTAAAAGCTTTTGCACAGCAAAGGAAACTATAAACAAGATGAAAAGACAACCCTCAGAATGGGAGAAAATATTTGCAAAAGAATCAACGGACAAAGGATTAATCTCCAAAATATACAAACAGCTCATGCAGCTCAATATCCAAAAAACAAACAACCCAGTCAAAAAATGGGCAGAAGACCTATATAGACATTTCTCCAAAGAAGACATACAGATGGCCAAGAGGTAAGTGAAAAGATGCTCAACATCACTAATTATTAGAGAAAAGCAAACCAAAACTACAATGAGGTGTCACCTCACACCGGTTAGAATGGTCATAATCAGAAAATCTACTACAATAAGTGCTGGAGAGGCTGTGGAGAAAAGGGAACCCTCTTGCACTGTTGGTGGGAATGTAAATTGATACAGCCACTATGGAGAACAGTATGGAGGTTCCTTAAAAAACTAAAAATAGAACTACCGTACGAGCCAGCAATCCCACTACTGGGCACATACCCTGAGAAAACCGTAATTCAAAAAGACACAGCCTATTGTGTTTTACAGCGGTGTTGGTTTCACAGAACCTGCCCGTTTAGGAAATGGTTTCTGGGCTGTGAGCAGGTCCCACGGGATGGGTAGGAGGTGGCCTTTTGGGACGACGACATCTTTCCCCCACTTTCAGTCTTGTCCCTCCCCCGAAACAGTTAAGACACTCAGCCTGGGCCAAGAGGTGAAGTTCTTGTTTATTGTTGCAGCAACTCTTACAGACATTAGCGTTCAGTTAAATAAAGGAAGAGAACACATTAAATACATCACAACCCCCAAAACGGTATGGAGGAGGGGAGGGAGGGCCAGCCCGGTGACCAGACTGTCAGAGGAAGTACATTCAGTGGGTGTGCGGCATCAACATTCCAGGCTCACGTGTATATAGATCTTATTTATATATTTATTTATATTTATATATAGAGATCATTGAGTTTTGTGTATACAAAGAACCATATTGTTACAAATACAATACTATACTTCTCCCAGCGCTTTACAATAAGCTCTATTTCACCCTCTTTACAGAACAATAGTACAAGTTCATACTCTAGGGACTGCTGAATATGTACACGGAATTTCCTTCCCACACGGTCCTCACGACTGCCTTGATGGAGGGTTGGGACGTAAGGTCAGTGTTGTGTGCTCAAGTCGGACTCAACCAGGGAAGGAGCAGACAGACATGAAACTCAAACCAGCAAGTGGCCTTGTAAGTGGGAGAGTAAACACACCTAAGAGGAGGTGCCCTTGGTTGTAAACATTGTTAACAGCCTCACCGCTGGGCTGAGGGACCCAAGAAGGGCTTGTGGGTGGGTCTCATCTGCATGTGGACGGGGTGACGGGTGTGAAAAGGGGTGGTGGGAGTGATGGGGAGGTAGTAGGTTACTCTGGGACTCTCTGAGGCCAGTGCTGATGGGCAATGTTCAGAAAGCAGACCCGGCTGCAGGGACTCGGAGTCCAGTGCCCCGTGATGGGCTCCAGGCCTGGAGGAGCTGCTCCAGTGAGGGGAGCAGGCTCCAGGCATTGGTCTCTGGGGGCTTCGTCCTCTCGTGAACCCAAGGCTGATGGTGGCTCCCTGAAATGCTCACATTTGAGAAGGCAGAGGCAGGGTGGGTTCTGGTGCATCCTGGCTGGACCAGGAGGGGTCGACGGACCTAGGAATCTGTCCCCAAATCTGAGTCACCAGCATGCCCTAGCCAAGTGGCAAGAGGGGCTTTCTGCCTGGGGCCATGTTTGGGAAGGCTGTTCTGTACATAGTCTTCCCCATTACATGGGGTTTCAGATATTTACATATGTAACTATATATACTGGGATGTCAGAAGGGAAACAGACCACCACTTCCTGTGGGACTTTCAAAAACAGAGTTACTATTAAGATTCTGGCTCCTTGGTTAACTTCCATAGGTGGGCTGATTCCCTCCATCCAGTGGGAGCAGGGAAAAGAATACACTACAGCCCGCTGAACCTGGACCAAGCTCCGGAAACATTCGCTATCTGGGCGTGAGGAGCCCCTTTTACGAACACAGAGGTACGTGGTGGGTAATCTTATGCTGAAATGTTAGCCTTCTAGGAGAGTTCACCACACTGGCCTTTTCCGCACCTGTCAAACTTCCCAAGATTTTTGTGAGGAGCAATAGAAAGTATATTCTGTGTCTTCTCTCCTTTGGGTGAAGAGCCTTACATAATTACGTGGGAGGCTGCCCAGGGACATGCTGGTGGGGTTCCCGTCCCCTGGCCGATTGCAGGGGGCTCGGAATGGGCCCTCGGGCAGGCGGCTCAAGCGGTCACCCTGGGAGCAGATGGCATGAGCCTCTCTCCAGTGACTTCCCAAGGCTCCTCATGCCTGAAAATACCACCCAGAACGCTTCATTCCTACTTTACCCGCTCCTTCTGGCAAAGGAAAGATGAACTTAGGACTCTTTAGTATTTAATTATATGTCATCAGACACTACGGTTTGGTAAATGGAGCTGAGGTTCCCGGCTCCTCACGTTTGCAGTGGGTCAGCCTTGAGGCTGGTCTCCCAGCAGCATTCAGCTAAGTGTCCTCAAAAGTCATCCAGGGGTCCCAGACTGCCCAGCCTGGACCCTTGGAGAAGGGGCAGCCCCTTCCTAAAGGGGACATGCGGGCAGCACAGCCACTCTTCAGCAGGGCCTGTCCCACGGTCACACTGGGAGTCCAGCCACTGACGCCACTGAAACAACCGGCTTTCCTGACTCTAAGCAGAAAACTCAAGACGGCACAGAGCTCGCAGGGGCACTGACCACACAGCTCTCTGGCACAAGTATCTTGTTCCCAACCTTTTCATATTCACTTTCTCCCTCCCTGAAATCCCTCCATTCGACGTATAAATCCATACTATCCAACACGTGCTCACCGGGTTCCTATCTCCATGGACACAACGTAAATAACTCAGATGTTGAGAAGAGGGACTGATATTAATATCACAAAATATATTAGTTTCTCTTACCCTGTCTTTGCAGAGGTCACGAGCAAAACAAAACAAAAACCAATCCAAGCCACACCCCACCCACATGAAAACAAAATGCTCTTTGGACCAAGAGTAAGTGAAAACTGGCTCAGAATCATGATATTACTAAAACATCTGCACCAAACTGAGACAAAACCCATGGACATGAGGCACCTGATAAAACACGTAATGTTCCACACCAAATAAAAGCTTTTTCAGGCCCACAAGGCAGCAAGACGTTTCTGGAACACATTTGGGGCTTCTTAGGCGTCGCTTGAGGTCACGATTGTCCCCTTAGTTTTGTGGTTTATATACTGTTCTGGGCCCTCAAATGTCACATCCTGCCTCATGGTCCTGAGTGGAGAACAAGGCTGGTCCCACCTTGGGCCAGGAAGCATAACATGATTCCACCGGGCCTCATCTTCAAGGGGAACAGTCCATCACTCCCAGACTCCCAGTGTGGGATGTATGTGTCGGGTGGAGGCGCGAGGGGAGTCCACCAGAACACTTCTAGCCAAGGCGGTGCTGGCAGGGCCAGGCCTCAGCCTCAGAGGGGCGGTTCTCTCCAGACAGGGCTCACCAGTCCCTGCAGGCCTCACCTGCTGGGGGAAGGGGCCTCACAGGGAGGTGACGTGGGTTTTCCAGGGGCTCTGGGTGCCTCACTGGTGGAAGGGAGGAGGGAAGGCTGAAATATATGCAAGTGAGACTGTGTACGTACATGTGATGTAGGAGGCAGGAAGCACCTGCCTGTGTTTAGCTAATGGTTGCTAACCTTGGGAAGCCACGGGTGCCCTGGGAATCGCCCAGTTCTCTGCAACACGAAGGTATTCTTGTCCACGGCAGTTCCCCTTCTATCCTGGGTGAAAAGGTTTGCATTAGAAAACACAATTATGTTGAAACTAAAACTACAGAAGAGGCATAAGGTTGGCTCAGAAATTCTGGGCAGAAATAATGTATGATGCCCCACGTACATGGTGGGCAGGCATATCCGTAAAGACACGGGCTGGTCCTCCCTGTTACTACCATAGTCCCAGAAATTGACTGGAAGAGAGCAGAGATCAGTGGTTGGATCGTAGGCACCGCTGAATCGGCTTCTTCACCACCCCTAGGAGTTCCTTCTAAGAGGGCTGCACCTCTTGGGAAGGGAAGATCCTTCCTGAGCGGTGACAACCCTCTTCAGGACCCCCAAGGGCCCTTCAGGATGGTCCTGGGCAGATTCTGGGTGGATACTGGCTGCTCTCCAGCCTCAAGGGAGTGCATACAAAACTTCCCTGGTGTTAAAAACAACAAAAAAACCAAACTAGAGAGAGACAGAGAAGGAGGTCTCTGTGGATTCTTTTCCTTCTGTGTCAAACCGAGTGCTGGGTATGAGAGGGGAATGTCTCAGTGGGCACACAGATGTAGCACGAGAAACACAACCACAAGTGAGGAGAGTCCTCCATGCATGCTGCCCGGGGGCGGGGGCGTGGCTTCAGATGTAGACGGGCTGTTCCTGGGCCGTCAGCAGCCTGTACATGGCAGCCGGCATCGTCTTCATGTGAATCTGAGGGCAGAAACGCACTTTAGCGGGGGGGACCGAGGCTCTGAGAGCTGTGTGGACACTGCCCCAGGGCTAGCGGGAGAGGCGGCACCTCTTGCTGTGGGACGCCTTTGAAGGTACCCCCCTCGTCCCCCCACCATTCCTAACAGGGGCCTGACCCAAGTGGCCTCCAGGAAGTACGGAATCCATGGGCTTCTAAAAAGTTAGGGGTGACAGAAAGTGAACAATGAACACCAGGTAAGGTGGTTTATTTCCCAAAAGCTCTTTCTCTCACCAGGCCTGTTTTTTTTTTTCCAAAAGGACAAAACCCTTAAAACAGTAGGACCGCTGTGGGGTTTTGCTGCTCCTGCCTCCCTCCCTCCCCCCGGCAGGAAATCAGACCCAGAACAGCTGTTCTGACCCCTGCCCAGCCATACCAGGGAACTGTCTCTGGGGAGCCGTTGATTAGATTTGAATCTGACTTAAAATCTTCCAGGCACATTTGGCAGGATTAGCTGGGAAGAATGGAGAGAACTTGGGCAGCTATGGCGGGAAGATGCCCAGGTCGGAGAACTAAAAAGAGGAGGTGGGCAAGTGATGCCAGAGGAGAAGGCTGAGGGTGACGTGACGGGATTTTGAGGAGCAGCTCTAAGATAACCACTCATTACCAGGTTTAAATTCTGGTCCGAGACAGACTGTTCAGTGTGGAGGTGTGCTGAGGACAGGGAAGGACACTCAGGAGGGCTTCGTGGAGGGGGCGAGCGCACCAGGGGACCCCCAGCCCCCGACTCTCCCTTACCTCCCCAACAGCATTGGAGAGGATGTGCACGATCTTCTCGTGTGGGGTGGCGACCACGCTCTGCCCGTTGATTTCAATGATGCGATGTCCCACGCGGACACCTCCTCTCTCCGCTATTCCCCCTCGCATGAGGCTGCAGATCTATCAGAGTCAAAGGCCAAGTTACCCACCCTGGCCTGCATCGCCTGCTAGGGAACTGGGTGGGGGTGGGAGACTATCTTTTCTAGAATCCCCCATCCCCAGCACTGTCATCTCTGAGGAGCTGCCATGGTCAGGCTGTGGACATTTACATCTCTTTGTTTCTTTTTATAAGAGCTAGGACTCTGGATGCCCAGATGGCCCCCTTGTTCTCGCGCTCTGCACAGGGGACGCAGCACGTCACTGGATTTCGCGGCACAGTGAATTCTGAGTACTTTTCATCCCAGCTCGGTCTTGGTAAAAAGAGCTGTTTGGGCCTGTCACAGAGCTGCCAATGTTTTCAAACTGTCAGCCTGTGTAACACAGTTTAGTATTATCTGGGACTCAAACACTGAACTGTGTAATGCTAGCAGCCCACTTTTTAGGGTCACAGTTACCTGAGTTAAAATGGGGCTAGAACCTGCTAGAACCCCACTTCGTGTTCCAAAGTGTGGCCACCTAGAAGGCAGAAGCTCCCTTTGGCTGTCCCAACTCAGTGGTTCTTGTTCAAACTCCCTCTGGCAGAAATGATAACATGGCTGGTTTTCGTCTCAGTGCAGCCAGGCACTGCGGTGGGCAGAGGCTGCAGGCTGGGGGAGGGCTCTGGGCTCAGCGCTGCAGGCTATAGCCACCCCTACCTCACACACAAAGCAATCGGAATTTCCCAAAAGAACATGGTTTGAATTTACAGAGCTGACCTTTTCACTCCTGACTGTGCACCTTTCTTTAAAAGCCTATGCAGGGGACTACCCTGGTGGGGCAGCGGTTAAGAATCCGCCTGCCAATGCAGGGGACACAGGTTCGATCCCTGGTCGGGGAAGATCCCACATGCCGCAGAGCAACTAAGCCCGTGCACCACAACTGCTGAGCCTGCACTCTAGAGCCCGCGAGCCACAACTACTGAAGGCTGCACGCCTGGAACCCGTGCTCCGCAAGGAGAAGCCACCGCAATGAGAAGCCCACGCACCGCAGTGAAGAGTAGCCCCCGCTCGCCGCAGCTAGAGAAAGCCCGTGCGCGGCCACGAAGACCCAACGCAGCCAAAAATAAATAAAATAAATTTATTAAAAAAAACATTAAGGGAGGAAAAAGAATCGGGTTTTTCTATCTGCAAAGATGAATGCAGAGAGAAGGAGGGCACATCCAAAAGCTATAATATCAAGAAGGTTACAGATTTGTCACCGAAGCCCAGAACTACTATGAGTCCAGAACAAGGCAAACCAGGACAAAAAGGGAGTAGTCTTGACTATGGAGTTTGTGTTTGGGATGAAGAAAAAGTTCTGGAAATAGCACTGATGGACACAACCACTTTTGGAATGTACTTAAAGGCACTGAACTGTATGCTTAAAAATGGTTTAAATGGCAAACTTAATGTTGTGTATGTTTTATCACAATAAAGGGGAAAAAAAAGGGAAGTATTTGAAGGCAGACATCCAGGTGATGAAAGTACTCTTTATCTCCCAAGTGCCAAATTCAGGTTAAAAAGGCAAGGCAGAGATCATTCAGGCATAACCCACAGGGCTGGGTTCTCAGCCTGGGCTGCACTGGTATCACCAAGGGTTTGGAAGCCCAGCCCCCAGGGCTCTTCACCCACTGCCCTGGGAAGCTGCTGGCTGGGGGGGGGGGGGCGGTTGGGAAGGTGCGTACCTCAAACTATCTCAAGCTGGCAGCTGGGAGGGTCACCCTGCGCATCACAGAGTCGCTGGGCTCTGGGGCACATGGATCTGGGAGGGTCCCTCTCTTCCCCCACAGAAGGCACAGAATTCTCTGCCCATGGAGGAAGTGAGTCTGCCTTCAACCATTCGTCCCTTCCTTGCTGGATTCTTTCTGGAAAATGACCAGCTTTCAAGAACAGCCCCAAAACCCAAACCCTGGGCCGCGGTTTCATGTGTCAGACTTTTGGAAAAGGTGTGGGGTTGTACTTACGATTCCGTTCTGGACACTGAACCCCAGCTGGTAGCGAAGGTCTGGTCTCCTGATCAACACGGTGGTCACTGGGGGACACCTCACGATATTCAGCTTGACCCGGGCCTGATTCTTCAAGCCCTGAAATGTGAATAAAGCACAGGGGATTCGATGACCATTGATGCCAACAAGAGATAAATGCAGACGGCACCAAAGGCAAAAGATGCTGCACAGAGCCTCGGTTTCTTCGTTGACTCCACAGTGCCCCGCGTCCAGCCTGATAGCGCCTGCGTCGGACAGTCCAAGCTAGATTCTGTCAACCTAGGGGAGAAAACCTTTAGGTTTACGTGGAGCCCTTTCAGCCCACGCAGAGACCAGTTTCTGTGGGCAATGTCTTCATTTTGGGAAACGGGCTGCATTCAAGGCATCTGAAAAAGGCGATCGTCTGTGCAGCTAAGAGGGAAACTGCCACATGTGCATTTTGGCTTGAAAGATGAAGGATGCACAGTCTCTCTCCTGGTCAGGTGGGAGACAAGCACGAAAGGAACTTTTTCTCTGAAACGCATACTCGTAGCAATTCCTCCTTTTCTAACAAAGGACAACTAATTCACACAACAGCCCAATTCATCAGGGCTTGCTGTCTCTCGCCCCTGGTGGTCCTGCTTCCCCATTCTCTCTGGCTGTTAGGGATTCTACAGTTTATCGACATTCCCACGAGCATCTGGGGGGAAGCAGGGCACAGAGGCAGGACTGCAGTCAGTGAAGGCCTCCTTGGGAGAATGAATAGGGTGGTAGGACCAGCGCTGGTGGAGAGGGAAGTAGGAGGAAATAGGGCTTAACGGTCATCTCCGATTTCATGCTCCCTGGTAACTCGTCCCTCCCTCTAAATTGGAATGGAGTTTAGAGGCAAATTTGGTTTTTAAAGATAAAGAGGGACTCCATCTGGTTTCTGAGCCTATTTAGAGAGCTTCCTTCACCCCACTCTGATCTAAGCGGAGCTCAGGCCTGTCTTCCTGCCCCTTGAACACACGCTCAGCAGGGACCAGAGCGCGGTTCTGCACAGGAGAACCCCTAGAAAATCATCACAAAGCTACGCTTTCCCTCATTCAGGCGGTGGGAACCTTCTCCTGCTGGTCCCGCCACCGACTTGTGAGCCTCACCCAAGAGGAAGGTGCCAGACAAAAGTAATTCAGCCCCGAAATGAACTCTCCCCGCCTCCCGACATCTCCCCAGCCTGTGTGCTCTGCCTCAGGCAACTCCCACTTGCCAGATGGTCCAGACCAAATGGCCAACAGCAGGTGCTTTCCAACCCGCTCCCATCATGGCACACAGGGAAAGGGCCAGGGTAGAGAGACCACACCGCTTGTGGCTGGAGGACCTGCTTTGAGAGCTGAGGCGGGGAGAACTCAGCACTCCCGTCTGATGCCTGTCCCACTGCACTCCCAGCTCACGAGGCCAGCTGATTGGGAAACAGCGCCAGGCCTGCCAAGGTCCACTCCTCCAAAGGGCCAGAGCTGAGGGGAGAAGCTCTTCCTAAAAGACGGTACTGTGGGGTGAGTGGACAGCCTCTCCACCAGCAGAGGAGGGACAGGCAAAGGTAGGCTCTATTCCACCAAGTCCTTCGTATCCCCTGGAGATGCCCCCCTCACCCCCCTGCCCCATCAATTCACAGACCGGTCCAGTGTGTGCCCTCTATCGGCGAAGCGGAAAGAGAGGCCTGGGAGGACAATGACAAATCCATTTCAGCCCGAAGGGTGATCGCCTCTTAGTCTATAAATAGAAATCTGTAAATTCCACAACCCCTGTGGCCAACTGTCACCCTCCGACCAGTCTGCAAACACTCTCTCTGCGGGAGGTCAGGACTTCTGCTTCACATTTTACGGGTGAGGACGCAGACGTGGACATTAAACCTGCCTCGTCTGAGGCTCAGTGGGGTCCGGACAGGGATAAGGGAGCCTCTGCCTTCCTCACAAGCACCTTGGCAAGCAGAGAGGTGAAAGTGGTGTTAGATGACTTTGGTGCCAACAGAATTTGTGGCAAGAGTGTAACTTGCCCCTCTGAGTGGCAGGAGGGACCCACACACCTTTTGCTTCTAAGTAATGAGGATACACTCTAGACTGAGGGATGGATAGGGGCTTTTTTGGCCCCTATGCTCGGCCAACAGGTCCTCAAAGTGGGGACACCCCACACCAGCAGCACCAGGACACTTTTGTTAGAAATGCAGGGTGGGGGCAGGGGTAAATTAGGAGGCTGGGATTAACATATACGCAGTACTATATACATAACATAGATTACCAACAAGGACCTACTGTATAGCACAGGGTACTATACCCAATATTTTGTAATAGCCTATAAGGGAAAAGAATCCGAAAACGAATGTATATATGATACACACACACACACACATATGGATAAGTGAATCACTGTGCTGTACACCTAAAACTAACACAATATTGCAAATCAACTATACTTCAATAAAAAAAAAAAAGCAAGAGTCTAGGGTCCACCCAGACCTACAGAATCAGAAACACCAGGGGTAGGACTCAACAATGAGTCTTCCCAATGACTTGATACACACTTCCTGGCGATACACTCAATTTTTGAGAACTGGTACAGACCACTGCCACAGAACAATGAACTCACATGCACTCAGGGATGATCAGAGTCAAAGATGTCAGTTTACTACTCATACCTGTGGCCAGTGTGCTCCATGAGAGCATGGGCTAGCCACGTCAGGGGGAGGGTGACAGAGAGCCAGTTGGCCTGGTGCCCAGTCAGCCACCCCCATGTGTGTGAGCACCCCTAAGGTCACTGTCCATTAAAACCCATCCTGATGACGAAACTAGCCAAACCACCTGTCACTGCACGCTGACTCTTGCCAGGCACCGACCTGGAGTCACAGGAGCTGTCTCCTTTAATCTCCTTGACAAACTGGCAGCTCTAATTATGCCCATTTTATAGAGCAGGAAACTGCGGCTTCACCACTCACCCAAGTTCACCCACAGCAAGATTCTGTCCCAGGTCTATTTGTATTCAAACCCAGAGCATTTTCGCCTACACCGTGATTCCCCATATAGACAATGGGAGGGTGTGTGTTATTCATGAGTAAAGCCTACTGGACAGAGAAGCCAGGGAGAGTGACAGAAGGATGAAGCTGTGCCCCCAACCTTTTCGCCCAGCCCCGCATGGGGCCGTGTTTTTAGTTTACTCGCCTACCTGGTGAGACTTCAGGGCTCCGGCTCCCTGGCTGCCCCACTTCCTTTGGGTGATTCCAGCTTGTCCTCTCAACGTGTGAGTTTTGAGGAGGTCAGTTTAATTCCCCACCCCCAGGTGTTTCCTCAGTGTCCTGAGTTGCTGTTTTCTGCAGGACTGGAGCCTCCCAACGGCTGTGATTTGGCTTGTGGTGACGTGTGTGCACTCGCAGGCAGCTGTTACCAGCATCCCTCCGTGGTTTCTGGAACAGCTCTAGGAAACGTCTCCGGTTCAAGACATGTTTTCAAATGAGAGCAAAAGAATGTGCCGAGGGCGATTCTCCTGGGGTGAAGGAAGTCTGCGGAGGTCCGGGCCTCCCGCACAGCAGCAGGTCCCGTCACCCATGCCCACGGGGATGTGCTGGAATTCTTCCCCTAATAGTGGGACCAGCGGGGCTGGGTGAAGAGGCCTCTGCTTGGTCAGGAGACCTGGGCTGCCCCTGTGTTTCCTCCACCACAGCCCGGAGGGTCTTAGACCCTCTATTCCACCTTGTACCTCAGTCTCCCCATCTTCAAAACAAATGCTGAAACCTACTAAGAGCTCTTCCACTTCTAATTGCTACGATCTCAGCCCTTGTTATGCATTTTTATTCTTTCCTAAGCATGTCTGCTGACAGCACCACATCTCAACCATCATGCTCAGAAACACCTATTTCTAACATTACAAATCGGCTTCTCTTTTGGGGGTGTTGCTCAGATACCATTCGTGCATATATTTCTTTTTCCCTTGAGAGCCCCCTCTTTATCACTCAATCAGTAGATATGTATGGATCACCTGCAATGTGCCAACACATGTGTTAGGCGCTGGGAGTTGGTGGAGCCAGGCCTCCGGAAGCTCAGGGGAGGGCTGCGGGCACAGGCAGGGCAGCCAGAGTCCATTCCCCTTTCTCTCCCCACATCACAAACTACAAGACCAGGAGTGTGTGGGAAACAAGAGCAAAGGATGATGAAAATAAGGAGCATGTTGTCAGAAACACAACCCTCCAGATAGAGCTACCCGCTTTAAATATTTGCACCTATGAAACACTGGGGTTGTTCAGGTATGTCTGTGAGGTACAGGAAAACCTTGGAGAGCTCCTGAAAAGCAAGAGAATGACTCTATTTTCTCTGTTACCTAAAAAGTCCACATCGCTCCGGTGGGTTCTTTTGTGTACATTGATTTAAGATGCTGGTTTGTCCCTCAGTGAAAGAATTTCTAGACTGGGGATATCTGCTGCAAGACGAAGCCCAGAGAGATGGCAAATCTGAAACAACCAGACCACGCACTTGCTCTGCTGTTCCCCATCAATGCTTCAAGTTGGGTCCCATTAACTCGGATTTCTCAGCTGCCACTTTATTGGAGGTGCCAATTAAATAAATGGTCATTTCGTCCCCATGACAACAGTGGAATGGTGTAGCAAATTAAGAAATATGGTGGGAGGAAAGAGTAGGGAAGAGGGAACGGGATAGGAGAGAAGCCAGAATGGTCTCTATAGCAACGGGAAAGCAGACCCGTGATGATCCTGTGGAAGGTAAGGAAGCGGTGCTCTAGTTTCAAAAAGAAAACAAATCTGGAGGGCAGGACCGTAGAGGCGATGGCACGAACAGGCGGTCTGCTAACATGCTTTGCCTACCAATAATTATGCTTTAGGAACTATGACAGGAAATATAAGAGCTAGGGAAGAAAGAAAATAATTCAATACCTGTAATCTATTCTAGAAACATACTCTATTCCCTATAACCAGGGGAGAGAAAAGGTCAACATGCATTAAAGTGGCAAGATGCAGAACACTCGAAGCCCATTATTGGCGATGTCATCACCGGGGAGTTTGTTGAAAATGCAGAAGCCCACCTCAGACCTGCCGAATCAGAACCTGCAGTTTAATAAGATCCCTGGGTGATTCGATCAAA